ACGCACTATACTCTTACACACACAATGCGACGACCAACCCCCCCACCACACACAACAGATATATATATATATATATATATATATACCGTTTCCTACCCGGTTTTCAACAACGCTTCACTTCGCATGTACACGTCCAAGGCATCTTGTCCGGTTACCCCAAGTTGCACAAAGGCAAAGCATCCGTCGCCATGACCTCGCGCGCCCATTGCACAAGAAACACTCTGATGATTCATTTTTACCAGCAGCAGACACTCTGAGCCCCACCACTACCAGCACTCGTGACGTGGTTCCAAGGACAAGAGTAGAAATAGGAAATCCATAAGGCAAAGAGGTGAGGAAGGAGAAGTAGACTCACACTCGTCATGCGGCCTCCCCACTGCCCTTCTTAGGTGACATATGTCACCCGCAAACGCCTGTGACAGCAACCTCGCAGCAGTGCATTGTCACCTGGAACATGATTAGCAACCACCATTCCTTGGTAATAAGGCGGGGAGAGTCCCTTCTGAGAGCATTTCAGCCAAAACCAGCCCTGCTGCAATGGAATCACCGGCCACCGTGAGCAGAGGGGCATTGTCATACCCAATAATTTCCAAATCTCCAAGTATGAGATTTTGACCTGCTTGGGCCTCTTCGCTCGCGATAAACTGCAAATAAACTTCCTCCACATCTTTTCTGGACACCGACGCCGGAAAATCTGCGAGGCATGGCCTATCTCTCCTCCCGTACTGCGCGTGAAGCAGAGCCTCGCACAATACGTCCGTCTGCATGGTCATTGCTTGGCCTTCTTTAACGCCACGGCTAATAACATTTCAAAAAGAAGAAGGGCGGGCAGCCTTTGTATAGCAACAAAAGAAAGCGTGGGTGCAGAACCTGACAAATGAGATTCATCAAAAAAAGAGGGCTTTGTGTGTATGGGTGTGTGGGTGCATCCAAGGTAACCCCGTAAGCACACTTCAGAGACTCGACTAAAATGAATTTCGTGTACATCGTCAGACCCAAAAGTCTCTTTTTTTCCCCTCGTATTATTGTTCTTCTTCGCTTCCCTCTCTTCTTCAATTAATCCTTGCGCCTTAGTGCCACCCAGCATTGGCACCACGCACGCAACAGAGGGATAGTTAGACTCCAACGAAGCCTACGTTGGGCTCGGCGGACGTTTGGTTCCTCTCCTCAGGACGCGCCAGGAGCAAGTCACTGCCGCCCTCCCCCACTGGATCGCCACCTTCTCTAGACTCGGAAACGACCCCTCCCTCTTGCGTCTCCTTTACCTCCTCCTGCGGCGGCGGTGGAGGCCGTGTGGCTTCTTCCAAGTCTTCCCAAATATACTCACCAGTGCCGTCCATCTTGGCCGCCTTCGAATGCACCACCGTCAGCTCGGCGCCCTCGCGCTCAATACCACAGTTGAAAAGCGTGGAGAAGTCGTCCAGGTTCTGCCGGCCAAGGTAGAGTCTAACGGTGTAGAAGGTCCGGGCAGTCAATTTTTCATAGCGCTCCTTAATCGCCTGAACGGTGTCGTGGTTCACGTCACAGTGAAGAAAGATGGTCAGGTTGTGCCGCCTCAAGCGCACATAGTGCGGTGGGGTTGGATTCGACATGAAGATCCGCTACTACGCCGGCGCCGGTGTTCGAACCCGCCGTCGGCACAACTAGAGATGATGGGAAATGAAAGGAGGACAAGGCACAAACACAGAAGGAAGGCAAAGCAAAAAACAATAACAGCGTGAGGCAGAAGCGCATGAGGAAGCCATACATGAACCCACAAAACACACAACAACAACAACAACAACAAAAACGGCAGGTGTAAGCTGAGTTTTTATCTTTCACTGCAGCTGCTGCAAATGAACCCACACACAACACACTCTTTTTTTTTTTTGCTTTTTGTGGCTCGCATCTCCTTCCCGCCGTCTTCAACGGCTACTACTTCTCTCCGCGGACAATTCGTTTCTCACGCGTTGTACTCCTCTCGGCGGACGTACTTGGCGAAGTTGTGATCGGCATCGCGCAACATTTTGTTCGACAGTCGCCCGCGTCGGCGGTACGGGTTGCCCATGTCGAGCACTACACGGTTGACGCCGGGCATGACGTCCTTTTCACGGCCAATTGGGGCCGTGAGTTCGTACTTGAAGTCTCGATGCACTTGGTGGATGGTTGGGGTGTACCGCAGCAGTTCATCCGGTGTGGGGGCGTTTGTCAGGTGCTGCGCGCGCCGCATCCAGTGCCCCCGCATAGTGTGTATGCGCCCGGCGAAGTCGCGAAGGTTGAAGAACTTCTTGTCAATCATTTCCTTTCTCCGCTGCAGCACCCGGATGACGCCTTCGCGGTTTCCAGCCTCGCGATGAACGCGCTCCGCACGCTCCATACACTGGTCCGCGATGGCGAAGGTGCGGTCGTAGTCAAACGGACTGAAGTAGACAAATTTTTCCTCAAAGTTGAGGTTAAAGCGACGACCCAGGCGCGGCAGCAGGCGCAACATCCGATGCGATTCGCCCCAGTTGTGAAAGAGGTTCATCACCTCCACGGCCTCCTCGTAGGCCTCTGCGCCCTCCTGCCTCATGCCCAGCGCCTCTCGCGTCAAGCCCAGTTCCAACAAGGCCTCACAGATAAGTTCAAGTGACGGCCGACTCGATGCATCCAGCATTCGCAAAGCATTTTCAATGTTCGCCTTACTGCTATCCATTCGACCGACGTGGCGGAAGGCACCAGCAAGCTTCAAGAGGATGCCAATACGCTGTGAATGATTCTCGGGGTAGGCAATCGAGTAGGCCTTGGCGACCACACCGTAATGCTCCAACGCCTCCTGGAAGAGGCCCCCCTCCATGTAATAATCTCCCTGCAGCTCCAACTTGGCCACTTCACCAAGCGGCACGTACGGCCGCTCGGTTGCGGCAGGCAAACTCTTCTGTCGCCCTGCCTTGTGTGTATGCATTAGGTCAGTACTACTGGCGTCGGTCCATGAAACACCGCGTGTTTCATTTTCATTGTCGGTGTCTATTTCCTTTACGGGTTCCTCGTGTCTTGTTTGGGGCGTCGTTTTAAGCGCGGTGCCAAGAGTCACATCCGGTGGTAGGCGCTGTTTGTGCTGCACGAGCTGGTTAGGATACAACACACCGGGGTAGTAAGAGGTGTACAGCCGTGTTACCCACCGACGCTGCTGCGCTAGCGTGACTGGAAAACATGCGGGCCCATTACGCAGCACAGCAAGAAGTTTGCTCATCAGTTCGCCTGTGAGCTCCCCAGAGGGAAGAAAGTTTTTTTTTTTTTTTTCTTTCTTCCTCCCTCCTGTCTCTACCACGACTTGGGGACCCACGTTTCCTCTCACGCTAAGGCGGCTGTAATCTCTCACCACGGCACGTGGCAGCACTACGAGGCGGAAGGGCACTATAAATAGAAGGAAAATAAAGCAATGAAAGTGCAAGCCCCAAACGGCCCTTGCAGAAGAGGCGAATAGACACCTGCATGAGGCCTCGTGCTTCATTTCTCCAGAAAGGAAAACAATAGGAGCTAAATAGTTTGTCTCATAGCACCCAACATTACAGCTCGAACGCAATTTTTCCCAAACCTGCAAACGGGAAACAATTACTACATGAAGCACACGCCGTGGTAGCCGCGCTCCTGTGGAGAGGCCACGAATTGGTAGACTGTCGTGCCCCCGCAGTCGTCTGCTTCCACTCCACGTGGAGAGTATTCGTGACGATAGTGTGGGGTTAGATTGGGAGGACACATAAAAAAGAAAAAGAAAAACACTGCATTCACGCAGCCTCCCCAACGCGGCATCGCTGAAAAGCAGAAGCGAGTAAGCAGTAAAGAGACGCGGACAGAAAACGAGCGACCCAATATCATTTACTCGGCCTCTCCTGATCGCAAGATGATTTCCAAAAGCTGCCAAGAAAAGTCAACCACACACTCCCCACACACGCACATGCACACAGACGCAGGCGCACTGACACCTCAGAAGCAGAAAAACGCACTACAGAAGACAAATCAGCAAGAACAATAAGTGAAGTTAAGTCACATCCACTGCACTGCCTTCACGCCCCTAGATAAATGCATAGAAATGTGCTTTCTTGTCTGCTTACAAGCTATTCACCTCCCCTTAGGAGAAGGAGGAGGAGCCTGAAATAGCGGTAAAAACCCCCACCTTGTGATTTGTCGTCCACTTCCCTACACACACACACCACCGCCGTTTTCTTTTCCTTTTTTTCACCCCCTTCGTTGAAGGGAGTGAAAGGGGCGAGGAGTTTTCTCCCTTGTCCCAATTTTATATGTGGTCCGTGCTCACCCCCTCGCGTGCCAAGTCAGAGTACCCACCACGCTGGCCCCCTCCACTCTGGAGGACTGCATCCTTCGCTAGCGACACGTACTCCCCACAGGACCGAAAAACCCCCACAAAAGGAATCATCTCTGGGAATTCTGTGGCACCCTTCAGCCTGTAGTTGACGACTGACATGACGAACATGTACACCGCTAAAGAGAAGAGCAGCACGAAAATCAAAGTTGACACAGACCATCCTTTCTTATTGCCGGCGTCGGATCGACTTGGAGAGTTATCTTTGCCCGCACCCGTTGACGGCGTCTCCGGCGAAGGCAAAGGCGTCGCGCCCTCCCCCGCCTTTTTACCCGGCGGCTGTGTGGAGGCCACACCCCCGCTTTTACCGCCAGCAGCAATGAGGTCATCGACCCACACGATCCTCACCTGCAGCATCTGCGAGGTTTCCGTGGTGGTTGGCGGGGTAAGCATCAGGTAGACGACGCCCTCGCTCCACGGGACCACCTCGCCACTACTGCGCGTTACCCCGTAAGTATTTGTCGGCGACGTCATTACGACATACTTCGCCGCAGACAACATGAAAAAGCCAAAGGTGGCCTCCACTATAAATCCCTTGGACCCCGGCGGCGCGACAGACTTGAAGTACACCCCCACGGGAGCAGCCACCTCCGAAAGACGAAGCGGAATCGGGGCCAAAAACGAATTGGTCGGTGACACGTCAATCTGGCACGACGGACGATTGGCGTGGAAGCTCCAGAAACGGAACGGAACTGGGCCGTCCCTCCGCACACGCTTGACTCTGACCTCAATGTTTGTGCCAGCCTCCACGTTTGGAATCACGACGATGCCATCGTTGTTGGACTGCAGAGAGACCACGGCCCCCTCACGCAGGCGGTATGTGGCGTTCAGCTGTATCCACCGCTGCGAGAGCTCACCCAAGTTCAACGGGAAGGCCCGTACAATGAGAACAATGGCCTCCTTCGCCGCCGGAGACACTGGCACCCCAACAAGAATGCGGTCATTGTATTCCCCAGCGAAGCCGATGACCTCACTACACATTGGTGTCAGGAGCTCATCGCTTGCATGAGCGGTGGCGAACAGCAACGCTGAAGCAGCAAAAAGAAGACCGAGTGCATAACTGTCCAAACGCGCCATTTGCAGAATAATAATTAAAATAATATATATATATATTGTATATTTTCGCTTCGACTACCCCCTAATATGCCAGAATTCTTTTTCTTGTTGCCGCGGATGATCACACCGCCGACAGTCGATTTGGCCCCCGGAGAAGGCCACCCAGATCCGGCAAGACAAAGCAGAGAGAAAGATGAATAAAAAATGAGGGCAAGAAGAAACAACTTCAGTGAATGGGAAAAAGTGAAGGAGAAAAACAAGGAGATGTAGACAAACGAAAAACACAAGACTACAAATAAATAAATGGCGAGTTTTGGCAGAGCATGTCGTCCTGTTCTCGTTGTTATTATTAGTTTTGTCCCACTTCTTCTTGTTGCTCGCATTTGCTTAGCAATGGTGGAGTTCCTCATAAAGATAATATAACAAACGGGCGGGAGTGAAGTTCGCTTACTTGTTCGCAACTAAATTGGGCGCATTACGCCCAGTTGGGTGAGAACGCATCCGAGCATCACATCTCTCACACGCCCCTCAGCCCAGGGCAGGGAGCGGTGGCGGAACTTCCTCCGCCCCCATTACCAGCACACACCCCACACACTTCGGAGGCCACCAACGACTAGCGACGATAGTCGTCATCGTCTAGGAGGTCCTCCGGTGAAAGAGCCTTCATACCTCTGTTGATGCGCACACGACGAGGTTGATTAGCCGACGACTTGGTCGGCTTCTCTTTCTTTTTGGGCTCCAGTGGGGCGTTCTTCGCCTTGCCGCTCTCTTTCCCCCGGCATGTGCGTGCCTCCTTTTTCTGCCTTGGCGAGGGAATACGAACTCCCCGCAAGACCCCGGGGCCTTCCAGCCGCAGCTCCTTCGGAGGCGCGTCCTCAGGGCTCGCACACGCGGAGCCGCCGCGCGAAGCGGGAGCATCGAGGACGCCCGGCAAATCCTTCTCGGTGAAACACGAGAACGGCGTCAGCAGGCACTCCTCAACGCAGGAGGCGAGAAACAACTCATCATCGGAGTCGCTCCAGTCAAGGAAGCCACAATCGACGTGGTGATCGTCTACCGAATTTGCCTCTGTAACTACGCAGGTGTAGCTTTGAGAGCCATTTTCCATGGCTCCGGCCCCCCTGGGATCCCTGCTTGAGGTAATGGGAGGCTCCGCGATTTCCCTTCCGCTCCCCGCGCCCTGCTGCCTGCCCCCTCCTGTTATCGTCTCCAGGGTGTGCAGGTTGCCGTTTTACTTTACTGATTGATCACCCTTGTGATGTTCCACCCTCTTCTGCTCCTTGCCTTCCTGGCCACTCCCACGTCCCTTCTTCTTGTTTGTGGGTGTGAGTGTAGGTTTTTTTTGTTTTTGTTTTTTTTCACCCCTTCTTTGCTTCGTTGCTATCAATAAATACTGCTAATCCTTCGGATTGGGGAGTGCGCCGATTCACACCATTGGGGCTTTCGTGTTAGTTGTGGCTTTCCTTTTGCCGATGGCGCGGATGCTCCGTGGCAGGTTACAGACAGTAACAACTACACACACATAAAAAAGCAAAAAAAAAGAAGGAAAAAGAGAAAAGAAAAAGGCATGCACGCAGCGTTTGGGTGATATGAGAGATGCTGCAGCATCGGGGGCATGTTTGCATCACGGCACACACGATAAAGTGAGCAAGAGAGAGGGAGAAAACAAAAACAAGAGAGCGAAGGGAATATGTGCAGGCAAAAATTTATGTGCGTGCGCCACCAGGCATTGCCCTGCGACTCGGGCGTGCATTCAAAAGCCGCAGCAATGCAGCGGCGTCCGCCTCGTTGTGGACGCCCATTTGCTGCACCTCATGCGGCGACAGACCGGAGCGCAGCACTTCACCATCAATGGCGCCCTCCACAAGGACACGGCGGTAGTCTTCCTGAAGGCCAAGCAAGTCAAACCATGCGCAGGCTGCTTCCACGCCACGCATGGCCTCCGTCTCACCAGACGACGGGGACGCCGTGCTTAACAGGACGTCAATGACGGTCGGCACACGCCGCACATGCTCCTCATCAGGGTTCAGGAACAGGTGGCGACGCAAGGCCTCCAAGAGAACACAGAGATCACTGTGGTACAAGCGATCGCCGCGGATCAAACCGCTCCGAATACTGCTCGCCAACTCCATAAAAATCCCAGGGGCGGACAATTCACTCCCCGCCGCAACAAGACTGCGCAGATACGCGTCTGTAAACAACTCTGTGTGCGCTTCAGCGAACACGGCATCAACCCCAAGCAAAACGAGCATTTCTACAACCCGTCGCCTCAGAGGCGAAAGGGTCCATTGGAGACCTCCGCCGGTGTCAGTCTCACGGAGGGTCAGCGCGGCCCAGGAAATAAACGGATGCGTGCGAGCGTTCTCCAGAGGCCCCCAAATATCATTTTCCTTTCAATAGCGGCAATGCGGAAGAAGAAACTCCGTCGCAAGCCACGACGCGATACCCCACGTGCTGCTGATATACGGCGCCCGCCATGCCCAAAAATGTCTCACACGCCAAGCGTCTCTCTACAGCCTTGCTTTCTTGCAGCACCCCACTCCTCCACGGCCTGTGGGGTTCATCACCGCCGTCGACAGCTTCCAAGCACAGCTCCTTCAACGAAACCCAAAGGAGAAGCCGCAGCCTCAGCACGCTTTCGGACTGTTCACCGCCTCCCAAAGCAGATACACACAAACTATCAAGTGTGTGTAGCAGGTGAAGAAGCAGTGAGTGACGGAGCACCTCAAAGTAACTTCCGTGCTTCATTGCAGCCTCGTCCGCTCTCCCGCACCAGAGCAGCAGTACGGTGTGTATTGCGGAGACGGCAAACCCCTCCAGCTCTGCGCTGCTCTCCTTCAGCAGTCCAACCATGCGCTTGAGACGTCAGCCGATGCGGACGCAGGAGCGCACGCATGTATGTGTTGGATTGTCTGCCCGACAGAGAAAAATAAACAGCAACAATATATATATATATATACATCCACACACAATAGGGAAAAACGAGGAGATAAGCGAACAGCCCCCCGAAGGAAAAGGGAAGAAAAAAGGTCATGATAAATGAGGCAGCAACAACAATAATAAATCAATAAGAAAAACGCTCTACACGGGAGCGCCCTAGCAATCAGAAACTACGCATCATCGGCTAAGTAATGCACACATGCAGGCAAAGATCGATAACTAAACAATGCTCCGCACTAAACCAATGGAGTAAAGCAAACAAAGAAAAAAAACAACAACAACAAACATAAAAAATTCTGCTGAACAATATATAGTTAAAAATATACACAAAATATGGGACAATACGTGTAACACCTATCATATTTTGCTTGTATCTCTAGCTCTACAACTAGACACACGGCTTTCTCGTCTTGGCTTAGCGGTCATGTTCCAATCCCCCCTCCCGCACCAGTAGCTCGCTGCGTCTCAAACGGCCTCCTTCGAAGGTGGTGGGAACGGTATCGCCTGCAACTTGGAGTGGGTATAAAGCGCCAGTCCTACGAGGGTACAAACAACCCCAGCAATCGTTTTCCCGTTGGTCTCCGAGGAGAAAAATATGAAGCCACCCACAAAGACCAACGCAGTCTTAAAATATCCCACAACGTTCATAGTCAGAGGGGAGGTCTGACCCACAAAGAAAAAAAATGAAAAGTTCACACCAAACGCGAAGAGGCATGAAAGAGCAATCGTCCAAACTGTCGTGAAGGTCACTTCATACGAAAAGAGCTCTCCAAGGCCGTCAATGGGAAGAGAAAAAATCAGTATCAAAGCGCTAAGCGGGGCCTGATAGACCAACAATTGCATGGGAGTTACGCCCAATTCCAACTGCTTTGTCTTTCCCCATATTGTATACAATGAGTTGGAGAAAACTGCCAACACGGCCCAGAAAGTTCCCATGAGGTTCAGTTTTGTGTCTGTGTAGACCGTGACTGCCACCCCCACACAGATGGGAACTAGGGATAGCAGCGTCCGTCTGCTCTCACGCCGGTGGTAAACGGCGAACTCAATCCAGAGGATCAAAGGCGTGCAGAGAATCTTCGAGGTCTGATACACGCTCACCGTGTTTGTGAGGAGCGAGAGATTGTTGAACACCACGTACCCGCAAAATGCCAGACTGATAGGCAGGACCTTGGATAGTGGGATGGGCCTCACCTCAAAACAGTGCAGCCGGGCAAAAAAGAGGCATCCCAGGAACGAGACTATAAAATGAATCACTGTGAGGAGGGTGCCGAAACGAAATCCGGCCTCAATGTAAACGAGGCGTTTATTGATAATAATCACACCGACACTGCTAACTATATTTAAGAGAAGGCTGCCGTACACCGTAACAGCGGGGGCCGCACTGAACCTAGAGATGTTCCGCTCCTTCATTCCCTCGGCCTAGTTCCCCTGGCAATCCAAAGCACAGAGAAGTCATCATCGAAGGTGGTGATGAGCGGCATATGTATATAAAAAAAATAAGGAGATAAAGAAATTTTACGCCTGCATGAGAAGGCAAAAAAATAAAAATAAAAATAAAAAAATAAAAACACACACATACACACCTACAGGGATGCCCAAAAAGTAAAACAAGACATAGAAACAAAACAAAAGCAAAATATGCTGCGATTTAGCCACTTGGAAAGGAAGCCATCTCTACACGTCTCTATTTTCCCCGGACCGCTCTATCTTCTGCGTTCTCCACAAGTTATTCACAAGCTGCTCAAAGCGGATTTCGATCAGCGGAGTGCCAAGCTAGTCGGAAGACATGGATCGACTGATGTACGTTTTTTCTTCCAAGATTCTCTCCTTCCAACGCCCTCGCTCCTTCTCTACGGATTGATCCAAGTCACGAAGCTTGCGTGCCAGTGTGGCATTCTTCTCTCTGCACGCTTCCAAATCGGCGACGGCTTCCCCGACTGTTGTCCGCATCTGCGCCAGGGCGTCTTGACGCTGCCGGACAAGCTGCTTGAAATGAAGTTCGTTTTTCATAAACGCCTCAATAATTGCATTTGGATTGCTAAGCAGTGACCGATCAGGCGCTGGAACCACACTGGAGGGTGAAAGCGGCGGCGCCCGTGGAGAGGGCGGCAATGGCCCTGTCACTGCCACCGTCGTCATTGCGGGCTCATTGCCACGTTTTGTGGGGGATTCTACAGAGAGGCCCTGCTGAGGCGTTGGGCGCGGAGCCGAGGCGCCGCCACCACCGTACATGTTCTGCAGTCTATCGCCGTAATCCATTGCGGCAGAAGTGAACGTCGCGGATGCCTCCCTCGGACTCGCGGAGAGCGGACGCGAGGCGGGGGCTGCTGCCAGGCCGCTTCCTCCATTTCTGACCTCCTCTTCCTGCCCCCGCACCTCCGACGGTGCGATCTCGCGCAGGTAATTAAAAGGGACGAATCCGCGCCGTCGCGCGTCACTAAGCACCTCAACCTTGATCCACCCCTCCTGCACCTCAGCATCAACGGCGCAGACAACTTCTCCCTTCTTTACGGTAAGTTCCACGCCGTCCTGCGCATCAAAGTTGTGTAGCACTCTAAAGTAACGCATCCAGAAACAGTTTCAACACACACGCACACGCGCCTGCTCTGTCCCCAGCACTCCCCCACAAGACACGCCAGACGAAGAAAGAAAAGAGTGGAGGTAAAAGAACACACATCTCATGTGGCAGACAAGATGGTTATATCACTGAAATGAACGACGGCCGCAGCCAATCCCAGACACGCGCGCGTACAACCGCATGATGAAAATAAGATGTCCACGAGCGCGCACCAGCACGGTCAACAATGACACACGGCTCAATAGAGTACACGCACAGCACCCAAGGAATACACAAACGTGGCGAAAGGGAGACTCAAGTATATACATACAACAGACAAGCAACGCCACGCAACGCAAAGGCAAGCTAAGGAAACAGAAAGAAGAATATATACCCCAGCATTTTATAAACAACAACAGCAGCAGTAACCAAAACAACAGCAAGCGCAAAGGAATAGAGAATAATAGCATGCCCCAGAGCATTCCCATTATCGTCACAAAACGAACATGCTACGCGCCTATAATGAAAGCAGCTATAAGGCATATATATATACATACATGTATACATATATATATATATATGTATCCTTCTTTTTTTCCTCTTCGACTAGAGCGACGCGGAGGCATCACGGCCACGATACCGCGATTGCCTCTTTGCAGCGCGATTCTTTTCGTCCAGACCACGTTTCGCACGAATTCGCTCTCTTAGCTCCTGCTGATGGGCTTCTAGGAGGTTGCAACGCTTGTCAAGAACATGCAGATGGACGGCGGCATTTTTAATGGCCGGATCCGCCCAACAACGGAACTCCATCCTCTGTAAGGCGTTGGAGGGGTGACATAGCTCGGATGTGAAACCCTGTCCCTCTAACTGAGAGGCAACTATCGGAGGCAGGAGAAGCCCTGACAAAGGAGACTTTTTCCGACGACCAAGCGTGGGATCCGGAGCACCTGTCCCCGCTGATTCCACCAGCGACGGCGCGGCTTTCACGGCTTTGTCCGCTTTCACCAAATCCTCTACTTTGGCGTCGCTCCTCCCTTCAAGAACGTTTCGGACCCTATCGAGGACCCTGAAGCCTACTGTGTACGGCAGCACCAGCACTTTCAACGAGGAATTTCGCTCCACTGCGGCGACGATCTTTGAGCAGTTTGCCGGCTTGAGCCCTGTTCCAATTAATAGTACCTCCCGCAGCGACGGCAGGGTCCGAATGACTCTTGCGATATCCGGTGCCGCCGCGCTGGTGATATCGGGGTTCTTGGACAAATCGAGGTGCTTCAGAGTCTTCCTCACGCACAGCGCATTGGCGATGTGGATGAAATCAAGGTCGCGAACCCGGCACGAGGAAAGACACAGGGACTCAATCGGGGTAGGTCCCTTCAGAATGGCCCCCAGAATGCCAACCGCGTCTTCGTCTAGGCGATTGTTGTTAAAGACAAGTTTGCTGTAGTGGTCATTGCTGATCAATGCGTCACGAAGCCGCGTGAGCACCGCCTCGTCCAGTTCGCCGGACGGGTTTTGGCTAAAGTCGATGCTCCGTTCCTCGTCGTTGACAATCATTGGGCGTCTCACTATGCGCTAAAATGGGGCAGCGAGGCAAAGAAATAACACCACCAATAACCAAATAATAAAAGGAAAACAGAAAAAAAAAGGAAATGAAACAACAAAGTAAATGCCCATCACTCATCCTCAGTTGCATGCACACAAACACCACAGATAAAACAATATGAATGAATCGTCTATACTACACGCACACACCCGCACACGTACACACACATACACGCATGCACACAGCCAGGCACACCTGATCAAAAAGAAGGTATTATGTACATATGCAGAATCAGGTAAGTAGAAACAGGCAAAAAAAAAAGCGTCGCACATCCACACAACAAGAGCAAAAACAAATACTGAATGCAGCGAAGACAGCTAAGAGTGGAGGGAAGAAAGAGAGCATCCACAACAACCAAGAAAAGTGTGGAAAGAGACTACGCTCCCAATCATTAATCTCTACATGTCAGCTCAAATAAACCTCCGGAAACAGCGCCGAGGCCACACACACACACACACATCTCACTCACTCACTCACTCACCCAGACACACACACACACACACACACCAATCCACAGAAACAAGACTACTTTCAGACACGGCAGATACATAGAAGTGGACCCAATTCCATTTTTTTTTATTCCTCACCCGTCTCATCCAGAGATGGACACTCTCCCAGGTGAAGTTCTGCAAATGTCTCAAAAGTGCCATCTTCTGTCCCAAGTTCCTCATGCACGTGTCCATTGCTGCAAACTAATTTATTTTCTTCTTCCACATCTGCTTCCTCGTCCTCGTCCTCGTCCTCGTCTTCCTCCACTTCATTTTGTTTCCGCTTCTCTTCATTGTCGTCAGAGCTGAATGCCTTCGCCCTATTCTCAAGAACCAAATAACTGTCAGTGCTGTTGACCGCTACCTCACCTGACAACTTAACAGTTGAAGACTGCCGGTGAATAAGCGTGAGTGGTGAATCCTCGTTACTAAAAAGCCGCCACAAAGCATCCGCTTGTTGTTGCGTGATGATCTGCTCCTTCACAAACTGCAGGAGATGATGGTATTCTATGGGCACAGGACGGTTGGCGTTTTCTTCCGGTAAGCCAAAGGCAGTTTTTCGCGTCAAGGCGGAGGCACATTTAAAGGAGTCCTGCATAAGTGACACGATATTTTGTTGCTGAGGAACAAATGAGGTTGAGACAGCGTCCGACGGTGCACTGATGGGGCGGAATGTTTCTTGATTAAAAATGCAACTCTTCGCAAATTTTTGCCTTCGCCCCGGTCCAAGAGCTAACGGAGCTCCAAGGCCCTTCTTCAAAGGTTGTCCAGGAGATCCCAGCATAGGCGCGGAGACGATAGGCTGGTCAGGCGCCGTCTCCGCCCTTCGTGGTCCTTCCTTCACGAGTTTATTCAAATCTCGCTCCTTTTTCCTGGCACTCTTTAATTCTATTTTCAGCTGTTTAACCTGCTCCTCCCAATTCTTTTCCTTTTCTCGCATTCTTGCCATTTGGAAGTCGCGGGACTCCAACTCTTTTTGCAGCTGTTCCACCTTCCTCTCGGTTGCCCGCGCCTGACCATTGCGAGGTGCCAGTCCACCCGCCGAGGGTCGCCCACGCGCGTCATTTGAAGGTCGTCGCGGCGTCGACAACTGCTTCAACTTTGGCCGCCCTGAGCTTTTCCCGTTCAGGGCCGGGGCGCCTAAAAGTTCACGTGGAGGTGAACCAACAGGTTCAAGTGCCGGCGGGGGTTCTCCAGATTTTCGCCGACCGGCTAACCCATCCGCGACCTCCAACGGAGGAAGGCAACCAACGTGGTGCTTCGCAGGTGCATTTGCTCGAGAGTACGAAGGCGGAGCCACACCAGTAACTTGTCTTGCAAGTCCGGGACTCGCAAGGGGCGACGACTGCTGCGGCGGCGATGGATGCGGTGAGGCCTGACCCTCTGGCAACAGCCTCTTCACATCCTCTAGGCTAAAGTTACGTGGAAGGCAGTTTGTTTGATAGCTGCTTTCCGTTATCAACCCCACAGTCCTCGGACTACGTTTAGGGGACACGCCCAACGGAAATGACTCTCGTGCTTTCGGTGACGCTTTGACCAAACCACCGTCTTGTTTTTTACTATTATACACAAAATCCAACGGAAGAGAGTTGGTGTCGTATTCGGTTCGTTTTGGCGCTAAGGGGTTTGCTTCTGAAGTGCTCATTGAAAAGTTCGGCGGCAGGGAATTTGACTGATACGGTGGTCGCTTATTGGGAAGAAGATCCAATGGTTTCCTGTGCCCGGGGATTATGTTCAGCGCCGCAGCGTTATTGTTATTTGCATTATTAACAGTAAATGTACTCAATACTGTTTGAGTTGGATGCTCATGCAACTCCGGGCCATCATTCTGCAGAATAAATTTACCATGACCATCCTTGTAACTGAACTTATACTGCTGTCGAATTGCGTCTCCCCGCACCACATTATCCTTCTTGCCAAGAGCGTCATTATCGAGCCTGTGTCGCTTACTTTGTGCTATTTGCCTGTCCAATGCCTCCTTTAGGGCCTTTTGTTTCACCTGCTTTTCCCGAGCCTCCCGCAGCCTCTCCTCCGTCACAACAAGCGGCTTCCCGTAAACGACATGATCCGACATTGCCCGGGGCAAAGAAAGCGTGCGTGATGGGCCCTGCTCCCCTCCGTTCTTGTCCCCCGCTCCCACCCGGCGATCTCGGCGTGAATGGTAGAGCGCCGGCTAGAATCGGAAAAAGCGGAGGTGGGGGGGTCCTGGGCAATCAATATTTGCAGTGACAGCAGAGGCAAATCCCCCTCCCCCCAAGTACTCGCCCACGCCTCTGTGTTATATCGCCCTCCCTAGCCCTCTACTTCACTGCCTCCCTCCAGGCAGCGCTGCACACGCCCCCACACACGCACGGCCTGTCACAACCGCAGACGCGTGGGCTGAAGAGAGGAGGGGGGAGACACAGCGCACAAGAAAAGGTGTCCCTCGAAGTCCGTGGAACTGACTATTACGGATGTGAATAAACAAATAACAAACCCGTAGGTGTGTATATAAATATGCTGCCTGAGGGGGAAGTTGGGAGACAGCGAGAGACAGAGAGAGAGAGAGCAAAGGCGAGTGGAAGACTCGGTAAGGCAAAGAAGAGGTAGAGGAGGGGGCAGAGGCAGAAAACTACATAAACTCCAAGCAGAGGTCATGCGAGGAGGGAAAACGTCAACAACAACAACAGCAGCAGCGGCAAAGCGAACACGAGCAATCGGCAACCACAAGGGGTCAAAGAAGATGGGATATACACAGATGTGGGGGAAGGCAGTGACGCCTTCACAAGTGGGGCGCCGCAACATCCTCCAGCAGCTCAAACAGCCAAATAAAGAAGCAAAAACAAAAACGGAAGCACAAGACGCGCCGCCGTCAAGACAAAATATCAAATCAAGATATCAAAACAAGAAAGTCACAAGTGAAAGAAAAGAACCAAATAAAAAAAACTGAACCGTTTCACACAAGAAACAGAACAGTGAAGCACTAAACGCGGGCTACTTTCTCAGCCACTGCTTCATCATGGCACTATACGCGTGATCTCGTTGGAGAAAGGAAGTTAAAAAGTACGTCCCGCCCAAGTGCGTGTGTATAGCAATGGCGTTTTCTAGCACCTTTGCCGTTCGCTGCTTTTTAATGTCCCTGATTTCATCCCACTCCAAGCTAAAGTTGGCACTCAAGAGACCAGCCTGGAAGCAAAGCCAACGTGGGGTAATGAACATGAAGCCCTGCTTTGGTAAAGGGTTGCCTTCGTCCACAAGGGCACAATTGAACGTTTCAATGATGTCTTCCGAGGCCAGGTTTGGAAAGGACTTGCGAAAAACACCTTCCATCTGCTGTTTAATGGCACCGGTCACACCCGAAACGTCAAGCACAGCGTTCCCAACAGCTTTTCCCACAGAAACAGGGGCCAAGACAACTGCAGCAGCCCCCCGCACGGCCCCCTTCGCAACGTCGCTCAATCCCCATCCCTCCTGCTCTCCAGGCTGCTCAAGTGACGCCAGCTCCACCGTGCCTTGAAACGCTGCCGCCGTCTTGTTCACGGCGGCGTTGCGCTTAGTCAGTAGCGCTTCCTCTCGCGGCGTCAACCGATCATGGGTGTGGAGCTGCTGCACCACCGCATTTACTTCTTCTTTCTTAACCTCTACAAACCCATTCCTCTCGTAGGTATTTTTGGTAATATTTACAATAGCCAATAGACGCTCACTCTTGTACCTTTTACTGGGCGAGGCGCTCCGCGATGAAGAGGGGTCAAAACCACGCACTGTCACCTTGGCAATCTGTGGTGCCTCGGGAACTGGGGTGATCTCATGCACTACCTCTTCCCGTTCTGAATTAATGACGAGGGATTCCTGAATCAGTAAGGTGGGTGACATTTTTGCCCCACGAATTATCAATACATAAAGCGTGTATAGCATCTGTTGATGATCCTCGCTGGAGCCCATACGCCAACCGCAAGGGGGCAATTCGCGCAGGTCCAATGGATCCTCCACAAAGATTTCGCCGGCAGGCGACTCAAATGGTTCCACTTCCACACAATCGGTTTGCAGAATGTCACACATTAAGTCTGCCTGCATGTCATCCCCTAGCGCAATATAATTGGATAGCAGCAACGACCCCAACGAGCCGGGGGCGGGGAGTTTAACGTAATACGACGCTATCGGTGACTGACGCTCAATCAACTCGGGAGCACTAAAAACATTTGGCCTGCTAGACAGCACCAAGCGACCGAGCGCGTCCTCCACCGTTGAGACCACGTGGAGGTACGTTGGCTCCTGCACAGCCACTACCTCCCTCGTTGAAGGTGGTGTTCGCTTGTGAGTATCTCCCTGACCCTCCTTCTGCGTCGCCTCATTTTCGGCGGTAGTCCTTGGGGCAAACGCGTACTCATCGGCGGTGTCTTTGTCACTCTTCCCCTTCCTCAGATTCTCTTGCTGCTGCTGCTGCTGCTGCTTCGGTTCACTGGGGAGGAGGACGGGGTTGTCATTACTGGAATCATGCGCCTTTTTTTGCCTCCCCCCGGCGGACTCCTTCGTCGCCCCTTTAGGGGCACCGGAAGCCACAGGCGGCGCAACGCCAAGCGAGGGCCGTGTCTCTGTTACAAGAGTGAAATTGCTATTTGTACTAGTGCTGTTGTCCATATCACTTCTTTGATTCCAACGGAGAATTTGCTGCTGGCGCAGCGTCACTTCGGCCCTCCTAAAAGTTTCGAAGCTCTCCTTGTAGTACATCGTGAGCTGCTTGACGAAAACTCCAAAAAGATTCATCAGTAGACTGTGCGCCTCTCCTGGGTTGGCGTCCATGGCGTCCTTCATCGCCGTGCTCATTGTGGCGAGGTCCGCGAGGCAGCTCACGAGGGCGGCGGAAGAGTTTGCAACGCCGTGGCTGATGGCCCTCCCCACCGCCTCTACCTGAGACACGTCGGCCGCGTACTGCTCTGCGACGCCCAAAAGCCCCTGCACAACCCCCTCAACCGCGGCGTCCACGGCGCTCACGCCGCCTGCGACCGTCTCGACACTCCCAACCCACCGGTCCATCGGAGTGCAGGGCAATGCAAATAGTGAGCTATATGTAAATAGACAAAAGAATATATATATATATATATGTGTGTATGCACTTGCGCAAGTGGGAAGCACAGAAGTAAATAATAAGGGTGAAGAATGGGAGGACGGTTACAGCGAACGTGGGGGGGGGGGGCAGTTAAACATTAAGCAAGAGGACACAATAAAGAGGGTGCCAGCAAGGTGGGGAGGTCGGGAGCGGAGTGAAGCCGTGCCTCAACCACAACAGCAACGTCCACTGGACTCTACAACTATTTGCAACCGCGCGCGGCAGTCACCGCAACACCCACGCACACCGTCATCACACGTTGAGGCATCACCTCAATACGCCATTCCGCCAAAAGTGATGTCATGCATCCCG